ATGCTATTACCTATTGTTGGTTTTCACATGACGTCACTAAAATTCAAACTAAAAACTATCGATCCTACCGAGATTTTACTTTCACGATGCATTACAGCAGCTGAAACTAATTTTCAAACAAATTTTCGCTTTAAAATGGTTCTTGAATTTGTGATAGAGTACCAAGAACGAGAAGTCCAAAGACTACTGCAAAGCTGATTTTAAAAAAAAAGTGTGTTGTTTTTTATAACAATATTTCGGCTTGCCATACCAGCCTTCTTCAGGTTTACAGATGTTACTGAACTTATGTAGGAATCACAATATTATATAGATGGAGAATGTCGCAATAAACTGGAAAGGAAAAAATACTAAGGATTTGGATTACAATAATTCGTCACGGCGGTTCAGGCCATGAGGTTCAAGAGTCATGGCCTTATCTATCAAATGTGACTCCCTGATCTTACGAACTGAGTCAAGTGAAGAATGAATTGTTTCTAGTGGGATTAACTGCATGTCAGTATGAGAATGGTTAGAGTGAGAGAGAAAGTGTTCAGAAACAGTTGTGGGTTTAGATTTAATGTTAGTTTTGTCGACTGCACGTCTGTGTTCGTTAAATCTGTCCTTGAGACGTCGCTTAGTTTCACCTATATATTGTAAATTACAACGGTTACATTGAACCATGTAGATCACATTTTTAGTGTTACAAGTAATGTGTGAAGTGATGGAACGTGCTTCACCTGTAGCGTAAAAGGTATAACTTGTGACTGTTGTGAGGCCGTTAGTAAGGAATGGACAAGTGGCACAATTCTGTCCACAGCGGAAGAAGCCTGGCGGAAAATGATTGGTGGAGATAACGGGTAGATAAATTCGGGGACTTCGGCTACTGTCCGCTTAAGAAAGGGTGTCCGCTTAATACAGGTTTCACTGTACTGAATTCCGTGCAGTTAAAATGAACAGTTAACGATTAAGGTAAAGGGGAAACTAGGCCACATGGTAAAAAAAATCATGTTTGCAGTAAATGTGACTTGCTTGTTGCCCTTGCTTGTTGTACCAGGTGCCTATTCTTCAAAAGGTGGATATTGCTATCCACCAGATCAATCGTTATCCACTGGATAACGCAATTGGTTTCCCAAATGCTTTTCCTCTGGATAGTGATTTATCTGGTGGATAGCGTCGTTCAGCTTTTGAGCAACTGGGGCCAGTTCCATGACTCCAGTCAGGTTGAAAATTGACCAAACACAGAACATCAGTTTGAGAACCCAAAGAAGACTGTTCACTGTCTTCTAGTTTTCCATGGGGGCTACTACTTTGCATTTCATGAGGTGAGAGTGATCTGGAAAGGTAGAGTTACTATAAGCAAGGTAAAAATGTATCTGGCCATAATGGCCAATAGGCTGGCACTCATGATCTTTCCACAACACAAAGCAGCTAAGAGTATCTCTACTCCCCCCTGGATGGGATGCTAGCCTATTGAAGGGTTACCCCATGAACCCCACCCCCCCGCCCCCGAACCAAGAAGTACGCCACAAGTACCCATTCTTGCAAGTGGGTCATGAGAGCCAAAGTTGAGCAAAGTTTCTTGACTGAGAAAAACTACGATGGCAAGATTTAGATCTAAAAGTATAGGATTTTAACCGCTTAGCCACCATACCTCCACTACACACTGTGATCTGGGGAGACTGCAAATTGTCTGTGGGCGGAAATTAAGTTTATTCATTCAGCCTTCTCAATCTTTGACTTTAGTGGTTCACAAGTAATTTCGACAAGCACAAGATTTTTCCCACCATAAGGAGTAAAATCAAGAAGACAGGAATGCCAAAACCAAAAATTTCAGACAAATAATTAGCAGTACTGTTTTTTTTTTAACAATTTTAATAACGTGACAAGCCACCAGTTTCCATTTCTCTTTGACTGGAAATATTACGTACAAAACTCACACTAGAGATGTACTAACGCTGATGGAGATGAGAACAGACTCGAACAGTTCCAGGGATGAGGAAACTTGTAAAGCAATGACAGCTTAGTCAGTTGTCTGAGGACAAAGTCAAATATTATCCAAACAAACCAGTAAATAATTCTGTTAGCCTCTTTACCCCACAATTATTATTTTGTACACTAGAGAGCTCATGAATGGGTGATGAGATTTTCTTTCGCATGAGAAAAAACTTAACCAAAATTTCATTGGGACATGTACAGCAGCATCGTCATGTAAGCAGCCTCATTTTTCTTTACAAAATTGATCACAAGCAACAGAAAGAAGAAACAATAATGTGAGTGGTCAGACCACAAATTCTTTTTCACATTCTCTAAGTCCAAATATAAACAAAAAAAAAACTAGCATGTTATTAGGAGTGACTTTGGTCACACTATGCCTTGGCTGCTGCTTCTGCATCTCCAACCTGCAAGGAAACAAAATGCACACTCAGTCTACAGCTTATCAACTGTAACATGATCAAATTAACTCCTTCCCGCCCCCCATGCCCCGCCCCAAAAAAAGAGAAAAAAGGAACTACCAAACAGCTTCATGAACATGCAAAACCACGAAAGGGAACAATAATAAATGCAACAGAGTCAAACATACATGTTTGACAACTCGTCATAAGCAGTCACCTCTCAAAAGCAACCACCTATCCAAAGTCAGTCAGTGCTGTCCTCTAGGAGAGCCCGGTGGTCCCCAGTGCCTAACTCTTGCTCTGGGGCAACTAGAAAATCTTAGTTTTTTCATACAAATCATATGCTAGGCACCCTGGATTTCACAGGATCTGAGCCCTACACTCCCTTTAATCTTTCTTAGTGCACAGCCTTGTCAATTTTTCTTTCCAAAGCACTATCAGTTGTACCCTCTCATAATGGGCCATTTGCATAATATTGGCACCATTTTATTTCCCCTCAGGGCTTGAAAAAAACTTGAATTCCAGCTTGTCCTTTGGGCAAGTACCTGTCACATTTTGTTTGCCCGGGGCCACTTCTTACTTGTTAATTGTTTTGTTTGAGGATGACTTGCCTGGACTCGTAAGCTTTAAAAGTTACTCGCCCACCAAGAAAATCTGCGTGTCCCAGACTACGGCACAGGATTTTTTTCCGAGCCCTGCTACTACCAGAAAAGTTCAGATTTTTTGCTGTCTTGTGCACGCTATGGCTTTTAATTTTCAATTTTAATGACAATCTGTGAAGGTTGATGGTTTATAGCCAAGTAAATATACAAAGTCAGGCATATGATTATCAACCATTTGAAACAGGTGCATACTATACACCTGCAAATACAGTATACAATGGTTGAGAGAGAGCTAAACAGCTTGCAGGTTCTTTTGGTTCCATTTTTATTTTGTTGTCTACAAAAATAGCCAAGGGTTCAGCTCAAAGTAACCAGGGGAAATCCCCAGCCTACAGCCCTTAGTGACTGTCCTGAACTTAACATTTTAAATCTCTACCAGTTATCATTTTAATACATCATACCATGGAGGGTCCATTAGAAAGATTCTTAGGTAGTAATTTCTCATCACCATCGATGGGGTAATCAACCCAGGCTCTTGTGCGACCACCTCTACTACCCCCTCTATATCCTCCACGTCCACCTCGACTGCTGTTGTCACGTCCTTGATATCTGTATCCACCACGGCCACCTCTATATCCTCCACGACCTCTGCCTCTACCACGTCCCCCTCGTCGCATACCACCTGCTGCTCCAAATGTTTCCATATTCACCTTGCGCTCTTGCTGCCATGAAGGATGTGCCCTAAATAAAGGCAAGATGAAAAGGTTGTTCACATAGCCTGCCCCCAGTGAAGCTTACAACCCATACAGATTAAGGGACTGGGTGCTTTCCATTTTACCAAACAGACAGGTCAGAAACCAGTGCAACTTACCTCGAAAAAATGGAACAACTTAGTATTTGATTTAAGCAAAGTTTTCATCTGGATTGAAGCGCTCCATTAACCTTTTATCTGAATGGCTCTTAAAAATAGGTCACATTTTATAATCACCTTCTATTTCTGTCTCTATCATTTGCCTCACAAGAGATACTGTCAAAAAAGGACTTGGAGCTGTCATAATAAGAGGTTGGTGTTTGAGGTTTGTCTTGGAGATCCTCACTAGTTGATGAACTGTTCACTTTATTTTCAACCTGAAAAAAATTTTGATTTCTATTAAAAATGTTAAACATTTCCATTAAAATTACAAGTAAGAAAAGACCAAAACTTACGTACACTGCATGCATTTTTTTTGTGGAAATGTGCCATCTGACAGTCATTCAAGACAACCAGAAAAGTTGCTTGGCAGCATTTTTTAGTGAAATCAAAGTGGTTTATATGGATGTTTTAGGGGCAATACATGAAAATTCTTACTTAGGGAGCTTAAAGGCCCCTTCTCCATAAGAATAGGGGTCGTGGAGCAACACAAGGGGGCAGAGTTATCCATACATGTCACCAAATGCTACACTGAAAAAATAGCAAGACCCACACTCCAGATGATCTGTGGTTAGTACTCTGTGAATGACTCTATGAAAGTTGTTAGGCGATTCAAGATTGTAGCCAAGCACCACTGCACTGCAGATGTGCTTCACCAGCAAAGTTAAAGTCAAGTTTAAGCACTGGGAGGTTTCTTTAGAACTGTTCTTGGAGGCTTGTATGATCAATAGATGCCTTACAGTTGGTAAAATATTGACCTCACCTTATGACAGCATTATTGAGATATTGGTGACGTTTTGAAATAAGCAATAAGGTAAGAACTATATTCCTCTCAAATCCCTACCGCAGCGTGCAAAGAAAGTAGTGTCTGATAGCCTGGGGCTAAAGGATTTTGCTATCGGCTAGTGAATTCTGTTTCTAACTTGCCCGACGAGCAAGTGATATTTCATGAGGAAGAACAGAAGAACTGCAAAATCAGTTCTGCTAGTCAAAAAGCTTTTGGGGCTAGTTTAAATGACGTCTGGGCTAGTAAATGCTAGCTTCAGCTTGCCCGAATGGCAAGCTGTAAAAATGATTTTCTTTGCACCCTGCTACCGGCACTTGCTCACCTCATCTGTAATCCGTAGATTTTCATGAAGTTTTTGTTGTAACTCTTCCTCAATCTCTTCTTTATTAAACTTTGCATTTGAACTCTCAAAGTCAAATTCACCCTCAAATTTAACAGGACCACCTCCAGGTTTTGGTTTAGAACCTCTTGTGCTAGAATTTCCTCTTCTGCCTTGAGTGCGGCGATTTCCACCTTAAAAAGCAAACAAAAACAAGCAAGCAAGAATTACTACATGTCACAAAGTTTCAGCTAACAGGACTGAGTGGAGTCTGGTTCAGTCTGTAATCATGTAGCAGCAATAAATAACACTGGATGACCATATGATTAAGGACTGAATTGGACAACACAAAGTCCCGTTACCACTATTAATTGTAACTACAATGTATAACAGAAACATGTCATTATCAAAACTTTTTTTTAAAAAAAACTGAAACACAAGATCTTCAGAAAGCTTTTTGCTAAAAAAAAAGTGACCATTCGAGCATGTGCAATGGTGCGCACTGTCCAACTATTACTGCTGCACAAGGCATACTGTCCTATTAAAGTATTCTATTGATGCTGAAATCAGGGCTGCTGAGAGCCATTCAAATCTGAGAATTTTGTGACAGTTATGATTAGCCACGAAACTACCTTGCTACTACTTATGAGCAAATCATTGATTATAGCAAACCATTTATCAAAAAAAACTTAAGCAATGTGATAATTCATTACAGAAAATGATGGTCAAAAGAAATCATATGGCCGACAACCTACATGTATGCGAGGATGCAAAAAATAAAGCATCACCACCAACTATTTGATACCTTGTCTCTGCTTCTGTGGCTCAGCTGAAGTTTGGTTCCCTCCAGTGGCTTCTTTGCTACTAGTGGCCTCTTTCTCTTCTTTTTTAACCTCTGGTTTCTTTTTTGACTCTTGTGGCTGCTCAGTCTTGTCCTCGGAATTTCTTCTTGATGAAGGTCTTGAGGATGGTTTCTTTTTTGTTTGAACAGTTTGAGTTCCTTGCTGTGATGTGGTTCTGCTATGAGATTCATTTCCCTGGCTTTCTGCAGATTTGGTGCTTGATGACCCAGGTAACACAGAATCGGGAGATGGAGAATGACCTCTGGACAAAGGCAGAGGGGGGATTGCAGGTGGTGTTCCTATCCGTTGAGGCATTACTGCTGCAGGTGGCATCATACCCATGGTTGGTTGCATGTGACCTGGCATAGGTCTCTGTGGGATGCCAGGAGGATAGCCCCCATACGATGGTACACCTCCAAATGGACCATAACTGGGTACATGAGGATATGATACAGGGGTGTGAAAATGAGAATAACCGCTTGGCAGTCCAGTCTGGTAAAAAAAAGAAACAAACATGTCATGTGAAAACAGTATTTGCCACAAGGGAGTCTTAAAAACCTCATTTCAAGACATATGTCAATGGGGAATTAAAAACATTGAAAGAGTAGCCCGTGTTTGATATTATTAAAATTTGACTCCGAGGCATGCTGGTCAATTCTCTATATTTAGTTTGGATTTATTTGTGCTCAAGTCTTGTCTTGGAATTGCATGTCCACAGAGTCATGGAAACTTTGCAACCTTGACCCTAAAGCCTAACAGGCATGTAAGAATAATGATTTTAATATGCTGAATGTTAGCCTGTGATAGGGGGGGGGGGGGTGGGGGGCATGTGCGGCTGGTCTCTCAGAACCCCGTCCCCATTATAGTCTATTCTGTGGGCAAATATAGACCATATCTTAGTCACTTTTGGGAAAATGTTATTTTTGAGATTCCAACTTAGTATCTTTCCGTTTATGTACATCTACTTTTGAATTGACACTAGATAATACTAGATGTAAAAACAATATCCGTAAGAGTGCATCTTATAGGAACTGGGGCCATTGGACCTCGACAAACTTTGCCTCAAACGATTGGAATAAATTAGACCTTTCAATCAGACAAAGCCCATCATTAGCTAGTTTTAAAAGAGTGTTAAGAAATGTAAATAGTTTTTAGTTTAATTTTTATATATTCATATATTAGTTTTTATTTTTCCTTTTTGTTCCTTTTTAATTTTTGAGGACTCTTTTGTAAATCACTTGTCAGTGAAATTGATATCCTCAATAAAGACTATTATTTAATTAATTTAAGACACATTATTTTGTTAAATTTGATGTAGTAAAAGTCCTACCTGCCTCAATTTTCTGATCCCCCAAACCCGAAAATGTGCGACCCCATTCTAGCAACCCCATAATAATCAATCCAGCCGTGGAAATGCGACCCCATCTGGCGACACTTCCCCATTAGCCTGTTACTAGGAAGTACCCCCTACCCCAGGGCACTAACTATAAATTATTTGAATGTAATGAAATTGTTATGAAATTTGTATCGAAACCAATTGAATCAAAACGACTGGTTTCTTCCTGAGCTAGATGGAATTTGACAACAATGGTTGTTGATGGGGTAGGGAATTTGCCACCACAATAGTAGAGGGGTACAGGCAGGAACGATTGTCTCAATTTTTGGCGTGTGACAAATGCAAATTGGCAGGTCAATGTGGTCAACAGAAAAATTTTGGAAAATTATTATGAAAACTATTTTAAGGGTTAAAGATGACTTCAGGGTAAATACACAGTATTGCTCATGGTATAACTACAAAATACAGGGCAACTTTTCTAGACTGATATTCTTTTCAGTGACTCTTCAAAAGTTCAAAGTGACAACAACTTCAGATTGAGCACAATATGCTCCTTTTGACGACCATGAACGTCTCCTTGAAGGATGAAAAAACTTACAAATATACAAAGACTGAAGTAAAAAATAGATAAGTTGAACGAACGCAAGAACACTAAATCGTTGTTTGTATTTTGTACATGTAGAAAACCGGAACCAGACGTTCTTAAATGTCACTTCTAAACAATCGATACAATTTCCGTTTTTTGTTTTTACTAATCAATGTGCAACATGAACAAGTATGTACCTGAACAATGGCTGGGTCCTGAGGTGGCTGCGAGTTAATTTGCTCTTCCCTCTTGGGTTCGCCAACAGTCAAGTCTTTTATGTCCTGTCCTCTAAAGACAATAAACTCATATTTTTCGTTCCTTGGAGCTATGTATTTTTCTACTTCCCTGTCTTCTGTCCCAAGTGAACGAACTACAAAAGAGGAGAGAAAGTATAAACTCGCTCGAGAAAACAGGTGAAAAAAAATTAACAGTAATGTAGAAAAAAGAGAAAGAGAAACTAACCACTCGCTAACGTCACTGTAGCTTCCTTTGTGTCGATAGCGTACAAAATTCCCTCATATCTAATTTCTGACTTAGAAATTAAGCTTATCTTAGTGCCAATGTACGGTGTTCCCGAAGTCATCTTCAGGGACACGAAAAAATACAAGGATGGTGCAGGATGACGAAGATAAAAATGCAAACAGCCTTAACAAAAATATGGCGGGCCTGGGAGACTGTTTTCCTTCTCTCGGAAGTGTGGGAAATGACGTCACCCACGGGACAAAATGAGTGATAGCATATACGAAGGGAGTTTTTTTTACAGGTAAAACAGCTGGTCACAATGAATGCAAGCTCGTAACAAAATGGCGCTTTCCAGTGAAAGCGTGAAACAACTGCCGAAAACCACTGTTTCTTGGTTCGAATTCTTGTTTGATACCTCTGGAAATGCTTTAAAGAAACATTTAGAGAGTGCATTTGCAGGTTTGATGTTTATTATTTATTCGCGCCGTAAGATAGCTGAGTGGTTTAGTACGCGGTTTCCCGGGTTCAAATCCTCGCTCTAGCTACCGGCCACAAGCTGGATTTATTTCTTGATCGTCCAGCGTTTAAGGCAATTTCTTTAAGCAATCCAATTATTTCACCTTTTTTTAACCTGTTATGCTTAATTCGAGTAAAGCCGCTTTTCCTGTGGTACAATGATATAATGTGTGACAGCACTCCCCACTGAGTACTCTAGACTGAATGTCAACCCCGGCCCCCGGGATGTCAACCAGAAACTTTGCTCTTCATACAATCAATTTTCTAAAAAAGGTACCTTTTCCTAGAACAAGATGCCCTGATTTCTTTCCCAGACTTAACTTCCAAAACACCATATTCGTCACAGCGGCACATACTTAGGGGCCGTCTACATATTCACTTTTGCCCCTCTTAACGTCAACTGGATGTTGAGGGCAGACCCCCCCCCTCTTCCCTCTCCTTAATGTCCACTGCATTCCAAAAGGAATACTGACATGCACTTACCCGTAAAGATGTCAACGGTATCAACACAATTTACTGCACAATATTATTCTCCAATAACTGTATAACTGCTTTTTCCTGTTGATACTTTTGATTTTCTACTACACAGTACATATTAAGAGGTCAAAGTGAGAATATATGGTATTAAAAAAAGATTCCACTGTACTGACTAAAGAGCATCCAATAAACAGCGGGTACAGGTCATGGCTGGCAAAAATATCATTTCCAGTCATCAATGAAAACCAGAGCTGTTAGTACTAAGGGCCAGGGGTCAGGGATTTTTCTTGGCTACTATGTTGAGGTCAGACCCCCCCCCTCCCTCTTCCCTCTCCTTAATGTCCACTGCATTCCAAAATGAATAGTGACATGCACTTACCCGTAAAGATGTCAACGGTTTCAACACAATTTACTGCACAATATTATTCTCCAATAACTGTATAACTGCTCTTTCCTGTTGATACTTTTGATTTTCTACTACACATTACATATTAAGAGGTCAAAGTGAGAATATATGGTATTAAAAAAAGATTCCATTTGTGCCCACAAATGTGTTTCCAAAATCAGCAAACTAACCATAATTTTTAGTATTGTATAAATGTATTGGTGATTTAGAATAGAGTTTAAAAGATCGCAATGTAAAATGTACAGTTGGTCCTGCTTTCTCTTAAATGATGTCACAAGCGCTGTGCCACCCTGCGCATGACGTGAAATTTATGAAAATGCATCAGTTTGCTTTTGTCCAAAAATGCCCCGCACTAACATCCACTGCCTTTCCCGTTCCCCCCTAATGCTCCAGGGAACTTGGTTGGGAATTCCCTGGTTGGGACTTTTCTCACTTTGCCAAATTTGGGATTTTTATGGGTATTCTTTAAATACCCTAAAATATCAAAAATGGGAATCCGTTACTTTTTCCTGTGAGTAGCACCTCCCTTTGATGGGTAAAAGCGACAGCAAAAACACACAAAATATATTTGAGATAAAGGGAAGAAAAAGTGGAAGAAAATGCTCAGTGATTGGCATGGCAGACATTAAAACATTAAATATCTAGATGTATCAATGAATGGACTGGATATTCTGCTATTCATAAACTCTCTCTATAATATTATATTCTTGCCTAAAGATCATTAGTTTTGTTGAGTTTGTTACAGTTATGAGAATAAACACCTCTCTCTTTTAAACACCTTCATCTACTAAAAGCCCCTGTTGGACCTGTAAAAATTATGTAAATACTTTTGACTGCAACACAACAAACTTAAAGAGCCTAATAGAAGAATATGACGCTGCCTTACATACTACTTTTAATTATATCAAAATGGAGCTGGTATAGACACATGTATGACAGAAAGTAGCTGCTGTGGAAAATTTTGTGAATAAGAAAATGGAAAAGTTCAGCAGCTATCATGACATATAACTTTCACTTCAAACAGAGAATAAGTTTAATATAGCAACTAACTGTGACTGTATGATATTTTTCTTTGTAGAACCATCTGCGACTCAACTTATTGTCCAATTTCTAGAGCGTTCTGGACTGGGGAGTATTATTTTGGTAGAGTGCTTATTATGAGATATGATACACATATTTTTTACAAAGCTGAGCAAGTTTAACATATTAATATTTTTATCTATATATATACTTGCCTCAGCAACCAAAAAGGTCCCAGCTATGGGCTTTAAAGTTGTTTGTTCTAAAATGTATGTCACAGACTTCACCTTTTGTTGTTACTTTAATTTTAATCCTTGTGCTAGAATTTGTATTGATAAAATAAGTAAATTTACCATTATATATTTGACATATTCACTCTCCTGGATGCTCACCTTTTTATATATTTTAGAATACTGGACCATCTGAAGTTCCACCCAGTGAAAACAAAAGGTCCCGTTGTCTTTCCCAGTTAGCATTGAGGGTTGCTGCATTCTTAAAATGGAATTTGGAAATCTTAGAAGACAAGTAAGTTCAAAATGTTGAACCTTTTTGTGAGTGTATTAGGTTAGTGTGCCTGATTGTAGATAAGAGGACCTACATGCATGAAAGGAGTGACAATTTTCTGTCATACTGTCCCTAATATGTAATAATTATTATTGTATGTGTGGTAAAGCTCTTGGCCTATGAATTAAAAGACATGTCTTTTTCCCCAATATAAATTCTCCCTAATAAGTGATTTAAGACAGCAGATTAGTAACAAAAGATCAAGCATACAATGTGTAGTTTTTACTTAGTAACACACAAGAATGACCCCAGTTTTTCTATTGTTATTTTTACTTGCAGCCTCTCTCTTCATTGGCAAAACATTTTGTTAGACGAACTTATAAAATCAGACACATCGATACAGGGAGTAAGTTAAATTGAGCAACAACTTTAATCTTTAGTGAACTGTATACCTGCATATTAAACCCTCTTCCAGATATGTCCTGTAGAGCTTTTCCTTAGGAAAATAATCCTTATACTGATAGCTAAGCCATCCTGATCCAGTTATATTATAACAAATTATTATTTTTATCTGTTTGGGACATCCTCTATTTACAACTCTCAGTTTACTTTTAGATCTTCCCACATTGTTAAACACTTTTTTCAAATGACTATCCTTTTAGAAAAAAATAATTATGGTTATGATTTGCTTATAACTTCAGGTGATGCAAAGTGAAATATACATAAGCAGCTTGGATAAAAAGTCTGCAATGACGCTTATCATTTACTACAGATGGTAGGAATTTATTTGCATCATTTTTGTTGTTATTGTTGTTTAATTTGCTAGGATAACAAACATTCAAAGGACTGCTGAATAATATTAATTTATTATTATTTTGGCATGTTGTATGTGGTCATTTGCTGTGTCCACAGTGAGTGAATCACATTTTTACTTGATTGTATATGACTGTTTATGTGAGTTGTGGTTCAATTTTGTCCTTTGGTTAAATTTAATTTCTCTTTATTTTAAATTGGAGGCAGCGTGGCTGAGCAGTAAGAGCGCTGGACTTGTAATCCATAGGCCCCAAGTTCAAGTCCCAACCTGACTGCTAGCTGGATTTGTTCTTGGTAATCCTGAGTACAAATTCTTGTAAATAGCCTATTGGTTTGCCTCCTACCAGTTGGGATTCGTAAACATATTATTATTATGTTTTATTTGAATTATTGTTTCATTATCTCCAAAAAGCCCCATAAGGGGAGTGGATAATTAAGTATTTATTATTATTATTATTATTATTATTATTATTATTATTTATATTTTTATCGTTATTATTATTATTATTATTATTATTATTATTATTATTATTATTCATTATGAAACATTACCCTGCCCCAAAACAAAGGGAAATGAAATTTAAATGAAGGATAAATTTGGTACAATAATTTTCATTTTTTAACAAATTATGTCTGTATTATTTTTGTTAGGGTGATAAGAACCCTGTCTCAACATTTCCTTCCAAATGTTGTGAAATCCAACAGCAATGGGTAGGTACAGCATTATAGAGGAATAATAGGGCAATATTTTCAAAACAAAAACAACCAATCCAAACGAACAAATAATTAAATAATTAATTTGAAGGAGGAATCCAAAGGTTCTTATTACCAAAAAAATATATTCTTCTGGCCCTGGAAATTTTATTTTATTTTTTCAAGCTTTGAATTAAATGAACCAGTTGTCACTTTGAGAAGATACATGTAACTGCATCTGTTTAAAAAAAATTAAAATGTGAAAGTTTGACACTTCTACTATTGGTGTCAAAATATTTGAGTTGACCACTAATTCCCAGTTTGTCAATCTCTAGTTAACTGGTAAACATAATCCTATTTATCATCAGTATTTGGGTTAATAATCCATTGTACAGTACATCTGGTTTATCCAGAGGATGACATTATCTGTCTTTTGAACAAATTGCAAACAAGAGTGAAAAGGAGTTAGATTGTTACATAAAAATAGAATGAAGTGATGAATTTTATTCCTGTTTGAGGAAATAACTTCATGGCAGAGAGTATGAGCTTAACCCACCTGTTTTCAAGTCAACTTTTTTTATCTGTCACAATTATAAAATGAATTTTATTACGTACAATGTAGCTGTACTTGATATTAATCATGATTATTATTTTCATGCTTATAATTATGTAGCCTGATCATGAGAAAACAGCCAACATTTTGTGACACCACAACTGGTTTCCTCACAAAATGACGACTGAGAAACGAGTGCAGAAATTCCATACTGATGACACATCACTAAAACCCAGATCTAGGTAGTGGGTCTGATTAGTTGAAGCAAATTTCCCTTGCGGTATGACCAATCAGAAGCACTACCCACATCTGGGTAGTGATGAGTCATCAGTACGGAATTTCTGTGCTCTTTCTCAGACATTATTTTGTGGGGAAACCAGCAGTGGTGTCGTGAAATGTTGCATGTTTTCTCAGGCTGAGCTTATATGTTACATTTTTTGGAACATTTTTAGTGCCCTAGCTGAGAACTTGGCAAATGAGAATATCTTAAGAAAGGTAAATATAAAGAGCATTTGAAAGACATTACAATAAAAATTAAATAATAAGTACTGTAACTTATTTAAAGCAAAGTCAGATAAAAGTTGTGTGATTCATTTATTTCAATATTTATTTCATTTTATCAATTAATTTATACAATTTATTGTTAATTAATGTCTTCATTAGCTTTTTTGCAATTTTTTTTGGCTTAAAACTCTTTTTTGTCACCAAATTCATTAAAGAATCTCAAATTTTATTTTGTTAAGTATAAAAAGTTAACGGACCCAGGTGAAATTATTGCTGAAAGAAATTTTATGACTGGCTAGCTATTCTACATGCCGGTGAAACAATGCAGCTGTTTGAATTTTTCATCGTTAGCATGATAATATTATGTCTATCAGTTGTCTAATCAAGTTACAAATATGTTGATTCTGAATAATATTGGAAGGATATAGCAAAATTCACTCTCTGAAAATTGCCATCTGATATACCAAATAATTTTGTTCTTTAAAATATTTTACATTTTGGAAAGAATGTATAGACTGAGTCACCAGCACTTTAGCTGATAGGAAAATATACGTGGATAGAGCTACATCTTGCACATTGCGAATGTTGTTTAACAAGTGTTTTTTGCTAATCAGGCAAACTTTTGATTATAGCATCTGCAAAGATTTCACCTACAGTCGAACTTCGATGTGACAAACCTCTATGTAATAAAGTCCTCGGTATAACGAACAAGTTTCTTTACCCCAATAATAGTAAAATATGTGAAAAAGAACCGTGATAAAATGAAACCTTGTTATAGCTCGAACAAATTTTGGCAGTCCCTTTGCTACATCGAGGTTCCACTGTATTGACTAAAGAGCATCCAATAAACGGCGGGTTCAGGTCATGGCTGGCAAAAATATTATTTCCAGTCATCAATGAAAACCAGGGCTGTTAGTACTAAGGGACAAGGGCAGGGATTTTCCTTGGCTACTATAAGCATGACCCTCCAGCTACCTTCATATAAAAAATAAGGAAACTAGAACCAAAAATAACTGAAATCTTAGGCCTAGGTCAGATGTTGAACTTTTCGTGAGAAGAATCAAACTTAGTGAGTTAAGTTCGTGACAAGTTTGACATCTGGCTCAGTTAAGTTCGTCTGAATGAGTTCGGATCGTCTAACACATTTTATCCATCTACTTCAGACGGAGAGAACGTGTGAAGATCATCTCTGGGACAAAGGTCGATCTTAACACGTGATGAACTAAACTGTGAATTAAAAATTTGTACGATGATGATGATATTTAGCCTTGTTCTGGGAAAATTCAGTAAAATTGCTTTTTTGTCTGATTCAGTTGATGGTTTGATGTGTCCTAAGTTCGACATCTGACCCAACAGACAATCTTAACTAAATTTAGGTCGTCCCAAATTTGAATTTGGTTCGTCTCATAAAAAGTTTGACATTTTGTCTACTTAGGCCTTAGTCACTGTTCTGGTGAACATAATCTTAATAACCAGCCAACCTTCCTGGAGGTTTGAATGTTGAATATGGTTGTTAGATCTACTATCATAAATGATTTTCTTTTACACAACACAGCTTCAAGAACAACTTCCCATTGCCATCCACATCCTCAACCAAGCACTAGAGGTAACAGAGGACATGATTCTCCCCACACCTCCCTCCTTGGTGACTGATCAAAACAGAAAGGAGCAATCAGGACAGGAAAGAACTGTAAGTGAGGCTGCATCAACAAATGATGACCCTGCACAGAACATGGAAGTTGATGGCACCAAGAGTAAGACTGAGGCTGAGAATGGTTCTAATGAATCTAATAATACTTCCAACACTGGTGAAGACACTGATACTTTCTCTAATGAGATTTATAAAGTGAAAAAGGAGGATATTATTGCTCAGGTAATGTTTGAATCTGTATTTCCCGGTTATCATCTCCCTTCTCATAATAATACAGTGGAACCCCGTTAATACGGTCACCAATGGGTCAAAAAAAATCTGGCCATTTTAACGGGTGACCACATTAAGAGGGTTTTTTGTAAGAAAAGTTTTTTGTAAGAAAAGTGTCAGTAATAACAAGGTGACCATATTGCCAAGGTGGCTGTAAGGCGGGGTTCCACTGTAATTGATTGAGGTCTTCTTGTTTACCACTAGTACATAACTAGCTCGAGTCATAGTGAGACCATCACCAGTCGAAAGTGCATTAGGGTGCATGACAGTCAAATATGCAGTATTATCAAAGCTTGTTATTTTGATGAGAATGTATTATACTGTAAATAACAAACTTTGAACCTGAAACTACTGCACAGGTTGTCGAAATGTCAGTCACTGTCAACAACAGTCCTATTCAGGATTACACTCACCCGGACAATCATAATGCTCCTACTTTTGATTCAGAAGTGACTCCTGGGTTCAAACTTTTCACTGTAGTTTAACAATGACGAGAAGACACAAAAGAGTGACTGTCATCAACAGTAATCCTATTGAGGACAACACTCACCCAGAAAATCACCTTGCACCTACTCATGAAATACATTCTGTTAACTGTTATTAGTTTTGTTAACTTTTGTAGAAGGTTCCCAGTTGGCTTTTTCGGATGCATGATTTGGCCTATTGAAGACTGGGATTAGGATTTTAGAGGAAATGGACAGCAAGATCTTATTCCATCATTTTCCAATGTATTTGAAATTTGTTTACCACGGAGCACCTAGGATTTCTTAAGATTTCCTTGAAATGTTTCCATGCTTCCCAGATTGAATTGGAATTTGGAGGTGTTGGTCTTTAATAAGAGAGGAAACCAGGAGAGAACCAAAAAAATTCAACCCACGTAGGATGTTGATGCCAGTATTCAAACTCAGGCATCATTTCAAGGAAGGGAAGTTCCTTGCATCACCCTTGCTAATTATTAGGGAGCTATAAGCAACAACGACGTCGATGGCTACGAAAACGTCACTTAAAAAGTGAATTCACGCTGCTTCAAACCCCTATCACACTTATTTCATCACGTTTAATTTATCAAATGTTGGTAAAATTTTTTGGAGTTTAATTCTAAAGGACTGTATCAAAGTTCAGGAAAAGAAAAAGAAAGTTGTTTTCTTGTGTTCCCGTCCTCAACAAAATGCGAAATTAGGCACTTTCAAGTTGTAGTCGTGCAATGACGGCAAAGAAATTTACAAAAAAGCGTGATTGCAAAGTTGTTGTTTTGCTAATCTAAACCTTTTGCTTTTTCGCCCTTCTCATTGTTATTGCTGTTGTCATTGCTTATTAAAGCTCCCTATTATTGCTGCATGGTTTTCCAAAGGTGAGGGAACTTAGAGCTTCAGTAAGGGGCTTTTTAAAATGAATGTTCAGAATTTGGAATAAGCTGAGGAAAACCATTAGAACTACAGGATTGAGGAAAACATTAGTGTATAGGATGTCAGTTTTGATAAACCCTTTTCAGGGCCCTAAGTTTGCATCTTTAGTAATTGGCATTGTTTCTGTTATCAGAAAATTTACAGTTATATTTTTTTGGTTGCAGGTTTCGTTTGATTTGGCAACCCTCTACTTCTACCAAGAAAAGTTTCAGCAAGCAATGAAGTTGTTTGAGAGCTGTAAGAACGCACAGGTATTCAATCTTTCTACTATAATACATATTCAAGGGAGCATCATTTTCAAATGCAAAGGCGTAGTTCCTTTAAAGTATTGTGGGTAATCCTTTCCAAAAGCTTATCCACAACTACATTTATTGTCGATATTTGGTGTATGTGGGAAAACCATGCATTATCCTTCGACTTGGGAGAAATGCAAACAAAAAATATTTACTGCAATGGATTTTTATAGTTCATTATGCCTCATTTGTGAAATTTGCAAGACAAGAAAAATTGGCATAAAAATGGCAACACAGAATGTTCACATTCAATCTACATTTGTAACTAACTTTAAACCAATAAACCACAATACACCAAACTTGTGATGACTTAACAAAACAATTTTGCACAGTGACACGTACATGAACAACAACAGGACACAAACTCAAACCTGAGAGGTCAGAGAGTTCAGGACAAGAGGACTTTAGCCAGACTACAGTGATTATATTTCTATTGAGGCAAAATCAGGAAAACAAACTTACTGTATGCTTAGCCAATCCCATATTTTTTTAATAAGGCATGCATGAACAGGCTGTGTGGTCGACCAGTTAGAGTGCTTGACCTGTAATCCAGAGGCCCAGAGTAGAAGTCTCACCCTGACTACTGGCTGGATTTGTTCATGTTAGCTTTGAGTTTAAATCCTCCTCCACACTTGTAAAATAGCCAACTGCTTTGCCTCCTACAAGTTGGGATTCTTAAACTCATTATGTTCCATTTGAAATATTAAAAATTTGTTTTACTATCCATGAAAAGCCCCTTAATGGAAGAGGATATTTGTTTAGTTATTTATTTATAAATTTATTTATAACACAATTTTACTAAAGCAGTGGTCTTTCTAAGTTGCCTCTGTACTGGCTATTGGCCTGGAGTTTGCAAATCATCTGTTTCAAACCATTCATGCCTCCCTGTTTTTCGACATTGCACTTTTAACTTAACTGATCATTTTGTTTTATTATATTTTAGTGCTCTCAGTCATCATTTTACACTGTCAATGAAGATAAGTTGTGTGGATACTACATGGCATGTTGTGGTCTAACTGGCACTGTACCATCCACACCAAGCACACCTCTTCGAAGTACCAAACCATCCCTGACTGTACGACTGGAGCAGTGTAGACACACAGGGTATAAGGTGATATATCTTAGTGTTCACATGCTCAAATAGATTCCATTTTGCTTTTTGATGATATGAAAATTTGGTACATGTAAGATTGAAGAAGAAAAAAAAACTGAAGTGGCCAATGATCTACAGTCTGACAGCTCTTTCTTCATTCTCTCTTGTAGCAAATCATCATACTCAGGAATCCTCAAGTATTATTTTCTTACCTTCTCATTCTATAGTGTTAATTCTATCTTCATCAGACAGATCCACTCCTCCTTAAAATTCAGTAACGTTCCCTCTCTTCAAAACCAAAACCCCAGGCTGTGTTCACTAGGGAGTCACTCTTATTTTCAAGACATGATGAGGACAACGACTGTTCGGTCCTAAATTGTATTTTCCTTTTTACGTCTGCAAGATTTTCAATAGCAATATTATGTTAGACAGTTAACAGACTGCACCAAAGATAGGCTGTCCCGCTGAAATATGCCCCATGGCATTCTGACATATTATAACTAGAAATATGCCAGGGTATCGCAGAACCTCGTAAAGCTCATGGGAGAGTGGTCCATAAGATGTTAGGGATGGAAGGGCAGGAGAGAAATAGAATGAATCGTGTACTTGGGCGGGGGGGTGGGTTTCAACTTCAGCTTGAATATTATAATTATAGTTATTATTATTATTATTATTATTATTATTATTATTATTATTAAAGCCCATATAATGCAATAACTAACAGGTTTTTAAATGTAGACTAATTCTGTTCAGAAAAGTCCCTTGTGTGCATTGGAATATTTAAGCAAGGTAGTGTTTGGTTACACGTGTTTTATCTTGTTATGCCTCTGTCACAGGATATCATCCCTTTACTTTTGGAAGACAATGTCGCATTTGAATTGCCATTAGCATACAGAGAAAGTCTGGTCACAGAGCTAAAAACACAAAGCCAAAGAATGGATGAAGAAGATGAAGCTACTGACAGCATAACATTAGAGAGGCAGGCCATGGTGTGTAATATAATCAGAGAAGTGCTTGAAGGAAGACCAGCAAACACTGCATTTTGGTTATCGCTGGAAAACTGTACTGAGAAACATCTGGATCTTGTTTTCTCTGTGAGTTTTTTTTTCCATTTTGAAACACAAGCCATCCGTTTAATGAGCAGACATCTTTTATTAAGCAGACTCAAGACAGGCTAGAGGAGATTTTTCAGATTTGTGACATTAGATTTATAACATTTTGGTTCAAGATTTCTTTTGTCGCTTACTTGCAGGTGTGTGAATCTAAAATAGTGGATGTCCAGAGTTCCTGAATCCTGAGTCGAGACTGATAGGGAACACTTTTAGCCAGATGATCATTCTCAAATTGACTAATACATGTGTATTCTAAATGTCTTTGAATTCGGATACCCTAAAAGGTTATAAATCCAGAAACATTTATGAATCTGGAAAAATCTCCTTTAATGTAAACCTAGCCTTAGATTTACACTAGATGTTCATAATTTCCTCTCCCCCTGTCATGTCCAAATACCCTTCTAGCGGGTATGGATATTTTCTGGAACCAGAGAATGCAACTCTGTAGGAATTATTCTCGCATCACCAACCTTTTTGCCCAACTTGATCTCACTGTTAAAGCCATATAACAGTGTAATTCAAGAGCTTTTAGTTTTTTACGGTTGTAATGCTAGTGTTTAGAATAATCCCATTTTGGAATCAAATCATTAGAGCTAACTATAACCTTATGTAACTTTCTCCAAGCTTTGTTTACGATCAGTACCAGTTGAGGAAAAGTCAGCTGCTCCAAGTGTAAAAGATAGCAACAGATTCAAAGTTCTCAAGTCATTTGTCCAGTGAGTACTAAAACCATTGTTTTGGACCAGTGATAATAATATGTCACGATAGTGTGTGTCTAAATTAAGAAAAGGCATTAACATCATCATTCAAAGTCTAATCAGGTTTGATCCCTGAAAAAGGCGCACACACTGGTCAAAATACCTGCTCAAGTACACTCAAAATATCAGCTGATGAACAGGTTATTCTCTCCGTTTACTTTCTTTTCTTCAGGTTGATTTGTTGTAACTGTGAATTGGTGAATGGATGGGAAATTGCTAAGAATTCTACGGCAAGAATTTTTTTAGATGAGGAGGTACAATCATTTCTTTGACTTCTGTTGGTTAAGGAGAGTTGATTTATTTCGTTGATTTCTAGTCTGTTAGCAATATTGATTGACTGGATTAACGGGCAACTGTAAAACGACATAGAGGACTGGCTCCCGATCAATTCTGCTACTTGAAAAGTAGAGATCTACTCCCTCTGAACATCTCAAGTGACTACGTCATGAGACAGATTTTTCTTTACTTGTTTTCTACCACAATCACTACCTTTTTGTAGACGGACATTAAGTAGATGTTTAGAATTAGGCTTAAATAAACAATCTGTAAATCTATTGCGTTTGTGTATATTTAGAGACGTTAAGAGGTTCGTACACAATGATTGGCCCACATGTCTCAAGATTTGAATGGATCTTTTAAAAGCATGAAATTTCAGTATTAGAGAGTTGTATTTACCTAGAAAATGGACACCTGTCAAGATCATATTGGGAATGTGACTTGGGAACATTTTTTCCTTTAGTAGAACTGTGAGCAAACAAAGTTTTAAAACTCCCCCAAAGTGATCAGTTGTCTGGCTGTATTCTGCTTACTTGTTTTACCTTAAAGACTTAGCTAGGCCTATTAATACAAAACTAATGCAAGTTCCGCAAAGTTGCTGAATTGAGTCTCAAAAATAAGATATACCCGTAAATTTCAATACTCGGTATTATTATGGTTTTATTTTTAGGACGAAGCTATGGACGTGGCCGAGAACACATCAAGTCAAACTGAACCAGATGATCTATCTTGGATTCCAGTAAATGCACAGTGCAGTACTGAAGGTAAAATGCTTCCTTCTAGGAAAAGTAAGTTGATTCAGTGTAGTGCAGTTGGCTGTTTGGCTTAATAGGAATAGTTATCCTCAATAAAGTTAGGTATTGCTGATTATTATTCCTTTAAAATATTTAACCGTTTCTGTTTGGCTCAATTTCTCGACTAATTCTTCATAACCATCCAGGGCTTACTATGTTTAAAAGATGCGAGCAATGTACCAGCGATAGGATGGTATATAACCCCAGTGCTGTATATAATCACAACCTTGTTTGTACTCAAGAAAATGCAAAAAGGTCACGGCTACCCGACGACGAAATAGCAGAATTACCGACAAAATTTAATTGAACAAATGTAAGAACCCTTCAAAAATTCTCGCTTGGTGAATGACAGCAACCTTTTGAGGAATGTCTGGAAGAAAGAAGCACTTGCCTTTGGCCTCGGTGGATGACATCCTCCACCATCTGCATAATTCTTCAGGTCATAATCAGCCTCATTCAATAATTTGCTAAATATGTGAGCTCTGCTGCTACAATTTTAGTTATGATTTTGCGTTAGTCATAGTGATTTCGCTGTATGTTCTAGCAGCTGTAACAGGACAAGAGAGCGTTGAGCTAAAGAGAGGCTTCCTTTGTGATAAGCTGCGACACACAGTTGATCCTGATGAGATCAGCACCCTGGTCGAACAGCTTCACCAACTTGAGAAAGGAAGACGGTTCTCAGAGGTAATGCTATTTTATCTCTTTCGCTGTTTGAAACCCTGGCGCAAACCTTGCTTTTTGACCAAAAAAATGCCTCTAGACTTTACATAATATTCGTTAGCTGATTTTAATTCGGCGTCTGTCTATGTATCTAATTTGGCCGGAAGTTCTCTTTTTCTGAAACTGTTTTCAGTCCGGTGTCCCTTAGGTTGTCAATGCAGGTGAAGTAGGTGGTTTGCAGTCCTTCTTGCTGGCTGCCGCAGCGCTACATTAGAAGCTTTATCCTTGCCATTGACCTTTCCCATTTCAGTTCATTTGAAGCCACATAATTTTCCACAAATACCTCCTTCTTACCGCTGTTTTAGAGTGTCAATGTCAGAAAACAATTGATCACCGGTTACAGTGCCGAATTGTGGAAACTCCCTAAGATACGTCATAAGCACTGTTTCTTAACAATGGCCAGTTGTTATGAGATACCTTACCACTTAACTTTGGGTAAGTTCAATTGATTGTATTCCGAAATAGGAATAAGCAAAAGTTTTGTTAAAAATCTCTTCTAACCGTGATTTTCGGACTCTACATACATCAGGAATTATTTACGCCCAGCAGATTTCTAGATATTGCATTGCATGCAACGAATACCAAAAGAAGTGATTTCTGGCTTTTTCCTATTCCAGTCTTGTTCCAGAACTCACCCTTAAAAGATGACATGATGAATATGACCCTTAGTCGCCCTCTCCAACCACTTCTTGACACTATCAGCTTTAAACAATGATAACTAATTTTGTTTCTTTTTTCGCTGAAGGAATTTGCGTGCTTACTCTACAAGAGCCATTTAGAGGAGATTAAAAATCTTCAGCAGCAGGATATACTTCATATTCTCTTCTCTAAGGCTATACACTGTTCAGCCATTAAGGTACTTTACTCCACAGCTTTAGGGCGTTTTTAAAGTAACTGTCCTAAAACCATTATGGTAACAAAAGTAGATGAAGCCTGCGCCAGACACGAAAATCTCGTGTGAGTGGCTAGTACAACTACCTTATTGGTACTAAATTTCGCGGGTCTTTATTTCGCGTTTTTCGCGATTGTAAAGTGAAAATCGCGAAAATAAAGACCCGCGAAAATAAATCCTCGCGAAATTAAATACTCATATAGAAAATTCGAATCAACTTGGATTCTTTCCTTCAGAATTTATATTTAGGATATTCGCTTACATTTGTCAAATTGGACGAGTGAGGTTAAGCAAACATGACAGAGTTGAAAAAACGCGCTTGAAATTCATTTTGGAAGTAACGTCTTCTTTGCCTGTGTCGTCGCGCTTGCTTATAAATCCTGCACTATGGTACTGTGCATGAATCAAGAAATGATCTATTGTGCCAACCTAAATTTGCCCATCAAGAGTTACCGTGTAGCATTAACGGGAATGATAAATAAACCAGGGCTTATATCCAAGTCATTTGACGTTACTTTTCCCCCAGGAATATAGCAAAGCCTCTCAGCTTCTGTCCTATGCTCTTGGGATGGTGAACACTGTGGCTGGAAGGGGTGCAGTGAACCCTACACTGGAGAGAGTCAAGGCTGCAATTCATCAAGAACTTCTTGTTCTTGATATTTGTAATGAGTCAAACAGCAAAAGGTATCTTTATAATCCTTACAAATATTGCTGAAGGGACACTCAGGCTTGCGGCAAACAATTTGATAATCGCTGGTGATTAATGTCTCTGTAATTCAAGTCAGGAGTATTCCATAGTCTAGTCTACAGTGTTGAAGTCCTTAGAATGTCCTTTTTTTGGTCAAAGACGAAAGAATTCTTCAATAAAAAAGTGAACAGGGTAAAGTAATTGGCGTGATTTAATAGTTATGTAGTCGATCTTAGGCCCCTTCCACACGTATCCGGATATTTTTGAATCCGCAACTTTTTCTTTCGCCAATTCCGTATTTATAAATTTCCACGTCCACACGGATCTGTATTCAAATGATTCACTGTAGTACCCAGGACACCTCTGGGAATATTGGCAACAGAGCCTGCGTCGTAAAGCGCGCGAAATTTGCATCTTGCTCTGCCTTTCACGTTAAAGAACTGGGCTTGATTTTGTTACATCACCGGATAAAAAGACATATCCGGATTTAGCGTCCACACGATTCCGGATTCATAGCGTATTCAAAAATTTCCACTCTGGAGAGCGGGTTCAAAAAGGTGCGGATTCGTATGCCGGATTCACCGGATACGTATGGACGGAAGACGAATCCGCAAAGAAAAAGTTGCGAATTCATAAAAACGTTGCATAAGACATTTCAAAGAGGGAATGTTCAGTCAAGTTTCAAAACATATGGGATGATCAAGATCCATTAGAATTTATATTGAGAAGGATGACAATTTTTTTTCTTTTAATTTTTTTTTTAGATCAGATGAGATAACTAACAGGGTCAAGTCTTACATGTGGCAAACTGCTCCAGGTGAGTAAAAGTAAAACGATGTCCATTAGCGCAGTGTTTAGTCAACTGTCAAAGTTATTTGTGACTTCCTTTGTTTCCACAAAATACCCCAGCCTCAAGGTGATACTCTTTCCGTTTCACTACTGCTGTGCCTTCATTTCCAGTCCCTTGGGTATTTTTTATTTTAAATGATACATGTTGTTTTCCGGGTCCCAGTTTTTTAAATAATAAATGATGATATCCATGGGATAAATCTCTATTCATCAGTCAAGAATGAAATTTGTCTCCCTAATTCTCATCCAATGGATATTTAGCAATGTATCTGATGTTGAGCACTGTCCAGTTTTTTAATAATAAAGAGTTTTAGCTTCTGCATGAGACGAGAACGATTACGAAAACGAGATTTTCTCAATACTGAGTATTACTCACGCGTGAACCAGCGTCATTTTGGCGGTAAAAGGTGATAGCCGTCGTCATTCTACTACGAGTTTTTGCGAGAATGTCGTAGTGGCGGGAACAAAATGTAAGTCATCAAATGTAAGAAGTTTTTATCATTTTGCGATCGGTAGAGGGCGTAACCTCCTTGCCGTTGGAGAGAATGTATGAGAACCACTAAAATTGGGCCTTATCTCAGGTTACCTTCAGTGCAAATAACCGTACTAACTTTTTTGGTGAAAAAAAAAAAAAGAAAAATGAAGCTTTCCGGTGTGTCTTTTTTTTGAAAACGCGCAAAAACTTTAAGTTAAATCTCGCACTCGTACTCGTTCATGTCCCCAAATCTCAAGGTGATGTTACACGGGACGATTCGCAACGACGGTTTTTAGCGCGACACGGAGTCGCAATGCTGGAACGATGTTGTAACCATTCGAAACAACGTTGCAACAATGCTGCAACCCTGTGTTGCGCTCAAAATCGTCGTTGCGAATCGTCTCGTGTAACATCACCTTCAAGCTCTCTAGTAACCTGGGGCTGGAGAACGAGATGAAGATTTCGAGGGATTCGCAGAAGGAAGAAGGAAAAGAAGGGACTCTCCCCAACTTTCGTCTTGCTTCCCGTGATGTAACGCTTCTCATCGAATACAATCCCAGGAACGACTGGTAACGGGTCTCTTACTGAATTGTTGTTGTTTCCTAAAGGGGCGGCAGAAAATCATATTGAGGAGCAGGTGAATGCCTTTCTGTTAAATGCCAAGGAATGGGAACTGCTGTCAGAAATAAGGGTAGATGAAAACACACAAACATTGGATTATAGATCTGTAAGTATTTACAGATACTATCGGTAGCAGTTTTTAACATTTTTGAGGGAATGCCATTACTTGACACGTTTATCTGATACCTAGGAAATCCCAGTCAAACCTCTTTCTATTCCAGAAACCTCACCAATGGTAATAGGAGGTAATAGGAGGTAATAGGAGCTTAAGCAACAACGATAACGACGGCAGTCAAAACATTACTAATAAAATGAATTTGCGTCCTTTCAAACTTTATGGCGTCTATCTGGAACCGCTCAATTCGTCAAATGTAGGCGACTTTTCCTGGAGTTGAATTCTTAAGGGCTATATCCATGTTCAAATAGAGAAAGAAAAATCTGTCGTCGTATGTCCACGTCCTCCACAAAACGTCGCATTGGAAGGTTTCACGTCGTAGTCAAACAGTGGACGTCAAAGAAATGTACTGAAAAGCGTGATGCACCTGCAGAGCTGTTGTTTTGCTCATAAAACCAACTGTTTTTTGACGTTGTCGTCATCGTAGTTACTTAAGCCTCCCAATACTGGTGGAAGAGATGGTAGGGGTAGATCCCGGTAACTGGTACTGCCTTTGCTTTATGGGGATTGGTAACGTGTTCTGCGTCTTTTCTGTGCTCCCTATCAAATGCAAAACTACTGAGGATGAAGGGTAAAGTCCATCATCGGAATTCTGTTGTATTTTTCTTCCTTATCTAGCTTAGTAGTCTGTTGGCATCAATGTGTTACTTCCTGTCTAAACCGAAGGAATGGAGGAAACCTGCAAGAAGTCTTTGGGATGGTGGTGAGTGCATTTTGTGCAGGGGATGGTGGGGATTTAAAACTGTGCATAGGACGGTGGAGAACAAAAATTGTCCATGGGATGGTAGGAAATGAAATCTGTGCATGGGATGATGGGGAATGAAAGCAGTGCATGAAGTGGTGATGAATAACAAGTGTTCTTGGGATGGTGACGAGTGCTTGTTGTGCATGCTGTATCCTTCCCTTATTTGTAAATTTTCTTGTTATTGTAGTTCTGAAGATATTTAGTAGCAACAACACGGTACAACAAAAAAGGCCAGCTGATGGAACCCAAGGAGCTGGAGCAGTAAAACTGTAAGAACCAGCTCAGTGTTTAATAAATTCTTACCTTATTTCTGAAGAAAATGACATTTAAATGCATTAATGTAGAATATGCCTCTTATTATATTTTTCAGGACAAACCTTATTCACTTTGTTCGAAAACTTAAGGTAACAGAACTGAACTACAACAAGTACCCTGCAGAACGATGTTGGCTTTTTCTTTCTAAACCTGATATTGCTAGTGGGTTTCTTAGCATGCAAATATCTTTTTTTCCCAGGAGGAGACAGTTCTTACTGTGTTGATTTCATGTTTAGTGAGGCTACGAAATGCTTCTAAGAAGGTTTGTACATCGCAGTAAAATGATAATGATTTTTCGGTTCGATTGTTGTTTTGCAAAGGATTTGCTACAACTAGTTGTTACTACACTTAAGTTTTTCTGCCTAAAAGTGGATTGGGGTCAATCAGTTTATCCACATTTTCATTTTCAAGAATGACGAGGCCAACAATCAAAGAGAAATATCCAGCTCGCACAGCCATCTGTGGCCCACAGCCATTACAAAGTAAGTTGCTTGATTTACCCAACTGCCCTCCAACCTCTTCCCCTTTTCTCAAGACTCTAGAGTTACGGAAAAATGGTGACTTAAATGGATGCAAGATGTCGTTTTCACCTTTTGCTCAGCGCCCGAAAATTACTTTATAGTTTTCAAGTACAGTGGAACCTCTATTCAGGGGACACTCTCGGGACCGACGAAAGTGTCCCTTGAATAGACGTGTCCCCTGAACAGAGGCTGGGCTTGGTGTTAATAAACAACCAACAAAGACGATATAAAAATGATCATCAATAACTTATCTCTGCGACATTATATGTTGAATCCACACAAACTTTGTTTAATCCTGACAGTTCCGGTAATGTGAATTTTGATCACATTGGCTTGGCGTTGTCGGCGGTTGTTCATCATGCACTCTCCGTTCAGCATCACAATATTTCCTGGCTTCAAACACTGGGTGACATTTATTTAGGTACGATTTATACCGCGTTAATATTTGTTTTCTTTATTTGACAAATACGCATGATGCTCTCCATGAATATATGGTATGGTTCAATTTTATCCTTGGTTCAAATTTTGTTTTCGTTTGTTTCAAACTCATCATCATACATTACTATACCCAAAAACAAAAGAAAATAAAATTGAAACCGCGACAAAAGTGTGCATATACATGTTTTTGAGAGAAATTAACTGATTGCGACGTTAGTATCTTTTACCTCAGGAGTTAGCTTCGGAGAGATGTGATCCCTATGGTGTCACCATCCCCCTGGCCTGAACGTGGGCGGGGCGGGGGGGTTACTCAGGCAAGCCTAGGACAGCTGTGTGTTGCGAAGGATTTTAAGCCCTGACCCTCTGTGGCAACAGGAACAAAAATTGTTGGAATTGAAAAATAAATAAAACATCGAGTATTCTGTTTATAAATGTTTTATATGACTTGTTGTAGATTCCGGTAACTATTCCTCTGCTCTGCAATGCTATCTTGAGGCTGGCGCTGTTTCATCTTCATTTTTTAACTTGCCGGTTCCAGCCAATGTCTGGGATGATCAGGTAAGACTTCTAACAGCTATAAAAAGCTAAATATAAAAGCATGGCTAACTAACTGCTAACGCAGGCCGTTAGTATTACGTATGCTTGTCGATTCTGATGATTGCTTAATTAAAGTCTTGCCCCCCTAGCCTAAGTTATCCTGTGTTAGTCACTCAGTCAGTCAGTGAGTTGGTCGGTGGTCGTTCTTGATGCCGACAATAGAGACTACCTTTAGATTAGAGGATGAGGACGAGGACGAGATTTAACTAGGACAAGATTTTCTCACGACTACGAGGATGAGATTTAACTTAAACTTTTCGTCCACCCCAGAAAGCTTTAATGTACTTTTTTACCAGAAAGGTTAGCACGGCTATTTTTATTGAAGGAGGTTAAGCCCTCTCCCGATCGCAAAATGATAAAACTTCTAACCGATAACTTCCATCTGACCACGACATTCTCTGAGTCGCTAAATCCCGTAGTAAAATGATGACGGCTATCATGTTTTCCCGCCAAAATAACGCTGGCTCACGTATGCGCACTATCCAATCGTCTGAAATTCAGGCTAAAGGTCTCTAAAAGTTTGGCGGACTCTGGGAACGGGATTGCTTAAGTCATAGTTTTTCGTGTTTCTCGCCTCGGCTAGTTGTTTTGTGTAAGGTCGTATTTGTGCTGTCCATTATTCAGTCCCTGACTTGGTGCAAGTTTCGATGGCAAGACACCATTTTGGCTCGCACACGATAAAATGTTCTGTCTTTTTTCTAAATCATCTCCTGTTATACTGGAGTCTTGTTTATTAGGACATGGTGTATTAAGTAAGTATACAACAGTCAGTGAGTCAAAACGTTTTGAACCTGAGTAAAGGTGATTATACACGGGACGATTCGTAACGACAATTTTTAGCGCAACACAGCGTTGCAATGCTGGAACAGTGTTGTAACTATTCGAAACAATGTCGTTGCGAATCGTTCCGTGTAACATCACCTTAAGAGAGACTTGTGCAGAGTGTCTTGCCATGATAAGAAGCATTGTTATTAATTCAAACGATTTCTCCGTTTTTTATCCTCCGGCTTATTCTTCATAACCAGCTAATGATGGCCAAATCTGGAACATGATTACCGATATCAATACCTTTGTCGTCAATCGTATTGCATAATTCTTCATATCTCACTCAACCCCATCCAATAATTACTAAATATTTAAGTATAGAAAACCTGCTTAACAAATAGCGAACCACACGTCAGGAGATGATCAGCGGTTTATTTTAAAAAATTTCTCTGTTATGTTTTTATAGGTTTACAGAAAGATGGTTACATGCTGCTCTGCGATGAAAGCTCATATTCAGGTTACAGTTACACTAAATTTACTATTGTGTTCAAATCACATTGCTGAACTAGCCATAGTGTAATATTACTTGCAAATATACGCGCTGGTCTCTTGGAAAACAAAAACCGATGTTATACTCATTGCAAGTCACAGGGATTGTATGAACACTAGGATATAAATATAATATAGTGACTTTGTTTTTTTCTTGACTTGGGGTGATTGCAATTATCTTTGTTCTCTGTAGGCAGCTTTACTCTGTCAATGTATGGAAGTAAAAGATTATACAACAGCATTTAAAGCTCTTCAACAAGCAGCAAATTCAAGGTATTGAGAGATGACTTAATAGGGATTTTCCATAAAAAGGTTAATGTTGATTTAAACAGTTGCTTGCCGAGTGGAAGTGTTTAACTCATGCATTTGTGATAAATATACAGTAAAAACACGCGAGTAAGAACCTGCATTTTCCAAAGTTAGCCTACACAGGTTCTTACACAAATGGTATTAGCATAAATTTAGGCTATTCAGGTTCTTAAAAAGGTTCATATTTTTTGAAGAAAAACAATACATTGTAGCTAAGAGTATTTAGTGGTATTCTGCTTATTCCCTAAATAAAATCTACATACCATTATCCTTCATTACATTGCAGTTGGAGTAACAAGGCACCTATGTCTTCAAAAATTAATGTGTCCTGATTGTTGACTTATCTTATTTGCCCAAGCGTACTTTTTTTGATAGATTTTAGGAAATAAGAACCTTTTTTAAATTTTAGGTTAAACAGGTTCTTGACGTGTATAGAGGGGGCCCAACTGGCAAATTTTAGCCTAACAGGTTCTTATACTCGCGGGTTTTTATCTAATCTGGCAGATCGCTAAACATTGGTTAAAAACCTGAGACATAATGTCCGATTGACGATCAGACTTTGAAATCAATTGTTAATAAAAACACATAAGTGAAAGTTAAGTGGTCCCAAAATGGTTATTATTATTATTTTTTGTCTCAACAGCTCCGACGCGATGGATTTTTATTATGGCTTCTTCTGGGATGTTACAATGTTAGAATATTTAACCTGTATCCTTTGGGTGCTACTTAGGGGATAGACACTGACACCACTGGTCGTTTTTACAGGGGTTTCGCGTGATACGTGAATTGACCGCTAAAAAGAGCTTGAATCGGAAAAACTCATGAAATACAGTCATGATTCGTGAATTATATGTACACTGTGACGCGTGATCCTCTAACATTTTAGTCCTTGAATCGAGATTTCTGCAGATAAAACAGATGTGAGTGTCGTGACAAGGCTTCGAAGTTAAACCATGTAAAAATAGAAAATTGTAGGGCTTCGATTTTATAGCAATAAAATCCATTACCAATCAAATTTGTAGTGGTCAAACAAAAAGCAGGGAATCGCCAGTTTGATCGGCACCATACTTTTTGTTTCCTTCCCATCAAGGGGTCATTTAAGACCAACTCTTGCCTATAGTAGTCCAGAAACCACTAAGAATCGTTGACGGACTTGATCAGTTCGTCACCTAATCACGTGATTCGCGAAATGACTCCTAAAGGTAAAGTGATCTGTGAAAGTACGGAAATTCAACCCGTGACTCGTGATCCAGACACCCCCTCTAGACCCTGTTTTTATATTAAGGGCGCATTATCCATCTGGACAAACTTCAGCAAACGTTTTGTAGTTCGTCTGGTTATGTGTCTCTAGTATAAAGACGGGCGCAAGACGCGTTATGCATTCAGATGAACCACATTTCTTAGTGCGTCATCGCAGGCGTACGTTGTACGATATTTCGTTCCTAAAGATTATCTGGCCACCCTTTCGGTTGTTGTCAAACGTGTCTCCCATTACGTTTGGTTTTGACAGACCAAAGGGGTTGACACCTTTGCGTAGCCTTAGGTGTAATCAAGATTACGTGTACAGTTCATATGGCATGCACTGCATCATTCCTAAAGTAATGTGCTTTAATACCCTTGAATAGACCACACAGAATACCTTGTAAGTAGTTTGTATGAAATCCAGACTATTTTTATGGTTTCCAGTTGCTGTGTCTTGTGTTTGAAGCTTTAACAATTTTTACGTGTGGTTTTTTACATTCTTTTTTCGTGTTTTGTCTGTTGTTAACTTTGACTCACTTTGATGTAGACACTCACGCTAAGCGTGGACAACACGACAAGAAGCTGCTAACAGTAAGTTCGTTATCTTACCTCTCGTTAGAACTTTGCGCGTTTTGCACGTTTTACTTTTATCTCGTTACCTTCATCTTTATCAGTAAGTAATTAATAAGGGACGTGAATAAATTACCTGTAATTTTCACCAGTGACATGAAGTGCCAATGGAAAAAAACCCCTTTGTCAGTCACCAGTTCACTAAAGATGAATGAAATGTACAACGAATACACGCACTCCGTGGCGTCAACAGCGGCAAGACGGTTTCGAGGTTTTGAAAACACATAGTGGCAACGAATTTCTGAGAAATTCGCCAATGGGTGAAAAAGCTGTGAGTTTTAAGACGTCTGAAGGTAAATTAGATCAAACCCAGTTTTTCAGACACGCTAATAAGATGTCACTTTATCCTTTTTGATTGTTACATAATTATCCAAACGTGTCAGTCAAATTTAAGCGATTTTCTTACGATCATAGAAGAAGTTTATTTCATCAATAAAATATTGATATATCCTCTTTAGCAAGACCTGTCCGGAAAAAATCAGTCACGCTAAAATGCGAGAATCTTAAGATGCGCTACTCATAATAATTATCCTGAGTACCAGAGGTTTCTCGTGCCAAGAGCAGCTTATAAATCTCCCACGCAAACGTTCTTTTTTAAAAATAGATCGTTTTCATTCACGTGGTCAGCGGCTTTGCAAATTGCTTGGAATAAAAGAAAGTTTTAACATGTGAGAAGAGTTCAATTTCCACAGGATTTTTTTTGTACACAAACTTGGCCGCCGATTCATTTTTTTGTACACAAATATGACCGCCGTGACGTCATGTGAAAACGATCTATAGGTTTTCATCCCTGGTTTTCATTTTCTTACCCAAAAAGGAAAGCGTGACCACGCCTTAAGAACGTGTGCGTGGGAGGCCACGAGTGGCTTCGCCGTGAAAAGAGCTGACTGAAAAAGGAAGCTGCGCATGAAACGCCTCTGGCACCTAAGGTAGATACTAGAATTTTCAGTAATTTTTTTCAAGGACATGCTATTGAGGTACCATTTTATTCTATTTTTGTTGCAGATACAAACAATTAGTCAACCTGAACTGAACGTTTTTAATTCTTCGGAGCTTCTCCAGCACACTGAACAAATCAGAAAAGCCAAGCTACTGAGAACACTCGCAAAACAGTATCTCTGATCCAGGTCCATTGATCATGCAGTTTAGCTTCGAAAAATTAAATTGTGAATTAAAAAATAAATAGAATAAAGGCAACTTCCAAATGTGAGACAAGAGTGAATTCATGTGCGTACTGTTGCTTGATCAGGCGATTTTTTTAGAAGAGAGGGGAAAGACAAGTATTGATTATAAATGGAGGGCACGATCATCGGCCAGCCCCAACAAACATCAATCCACAATGATTTACCAGTCCACTATCCACCTCATATTTAATCCACTTTGCAATGGTTTCAGTGCAGAAAGAAAGTAGTTGTTTGTAGTAAAATTGAACAGTTTTAAGAATGGTTTAGTGTGAAAGGGGCCTTAGTAAAGGAGGGTGGTGGTAGAATTTTTCAGAAGTCGATAACGATAATATAGTGGATATTTTTGAAACCACATACTTTTTTACCCGAATAGACCCGTTCCTCCTACAAGAAACCAGTGAATCCAGACACCGAAACTGCATTGTTTTGAAACCACTCTTCAGAGCTGTTCCACAATAATCTGCGGTTTCAAAGCTGTCTGGATTCATGTGGACATGCCCTTAGAACTCTTATTTTTATACTTGCTGAATGCCTTTAATATTTCATATTTTGCCACACAGAACAAAGACAATAAATTGTACTTGGAATTATTTTTTAATTATTAGGAAATTTCAAGCTCTGTGGTTAAATTTGTATCTTAATTAACAACTATTAAATTGAATATATTATTTATATTATTATACAATTATTAACAACACTACCACTTCATTTTTTTGATAAATTTGAATGATAATTACCTGTAAAAACCAACTGGTTTATAACTCGAGAGAGTTTTATAAATATTGACAATTCTGCACAAGCTGGAAATATGGCCCTTCATTTACACTGATTCGACATTAGTATTCACAAGCTTCCAATATATAATAATATTACAGCCTTCAATATACTGTTCTGTACAAAATTTTACATTTCTCTTGTCTGCATATTTAACAACTGGATTACAAGTTTGAGTTGACCAATTGACTCTTAGAAAATGAGAACAAGTGCTGTAAACTATTATTATAGACTATATTATTGTTTTAGGAGAAACCAACAGATGCACTACCTTCAATGGTCCAGTTTCGAGTTCACTACGACCCAGCGTGCAAAGAAAGTACTGTCCGATAGCCCGGGGCTAGGTGATTTTGCTATCGGGCTAGTGAATTCTGTTTTTAACTTGCCCGACGGGCAAGTATTGTTTTATGAGGAATTTGAATAAAAGAAGAAGAAAACGTTTTTGGGACTAGCTGAAATGACATCTGGGCTAGTAAATGCTAGCTTCAGCTTGCCCGAATGGCAAGCTGTAAAAATGATTTTCTTTGCACCCTGCTATGACCGCTGAATTAAAGAAGTGACGACACATTTTTACAGGCTTAGCCTCCATCTGAAGTAATAAATTCACAAATTCCAACGAGAAAAAGACCTGTTTATTACTCTGTCTATTGGGTATATTCAAATTTCAAACACTTACTTGCTAGAATTTCTGAATATTATACTTTAAATCGAGGCTAACCTTGTATGAATGTGTTGGTAATGTTTGTATTCAGCGGTAATTTTTAATTCAAATGTGGGCTATTCTATACAAAGCATGTAAAAAAAAAACCAAGCCATTTAGAAATAATTATTTATAACAGCAATTTTTTTTAATTGATCATGAATNGAATAAAAGAAGAAGAAAACGTTTTTGGGACTAGCTGAAATGACATCTGGGCTAGTAAATGCTAGCTTCAGCTTGCCCGAATGGCAAGCTGTAAAAATGATTTTCTTTGCACCCTGCTATGACCGCTGAATTAAAGAAGTGACGACACATTTTTACAGGCTTAGCCTCCATCTGAAGTAATAAATTCACAAATTCCAACGAGAAAAAGACCTGTTTATTACTCTGTCTATTGGGTATATTCAAATTTCAAACACTTACTTGCTAGAATTTCTGAATATTATACTTTAAATCGAGGCTAACCTTGTATGAATGTGTTGGTAATGTTTGTATTCAGCGGTAATTTTTAATTCAAAACTGGGCTATTCTATACAAAGCATGTAAAAAAAAACCAAGCCATTTAGAAATAATTATTTATAACAGCAATTTTTTTTAATTGATCATGAATCATGAGCTAGTCTTTTCTTTTTGAAATCTCATAGCAGCAAGGGCTCGCAGGCTAAACATATGATCAACATCTAGACCAGTCATTCTTTGAACTCGGAATAAATGATTCTCGATACCTTTCTTGTCCATTTGTAGTTTTTGCCTCAGTTTTACCGCTGTGTCCAACAGTGGTATCACATAAGAACATAAATAATCATCTTGAGCTAAATCAAGAGCTGCCATTGCATAACGCTCAGCATCTTCCAGATTGTCTTGAGCCTCAAGTACCACCACAACTGCTGCAAGAGTAGCTATAATCTCTCTTACTTTGTCACACAACTTCACTTGAAGATGCAAGCTGTTTAATAACAGTTCTAGGGAATTTTTTAATTCCCCACCTATTAAAAAGTCAGTTGCCTCTCGTAAACCTGGCAGATAGAAAAACTCTCGGAAAGCTGGATGTTGGCGTACTTCATAGTGTTGGTATATAGTTTGTAGGAATGCCTGAAATTCCACCCGTCTGGATTCAATTAATTCAGCATCCAAATTACTCTTTTGGCCAAGAACTCTCTTTGGAAAATTAATGTCCTTCAAGATGGTTGGAAGGTCTTTTTTGAGTGACTTGTACAGAGCTCTGAAGTCTGAGTATCGTCGTTCCACTGAGACCTTGTCTTTATCAATACCCATTTCTGTTCTCAAGACCATAATACAATAAAACTGAAAGAAGAAATTTATTAAAGAAAGTGAACCTCAAAAAAAATGTCATTACTGAGGGTCTACAGTAAAATCACCTGGAAGTTGGTTTTAGATGAAGATCATTAACTGGATAAATTATTCCTTTAGACTTATAAATTAAAAAAGAAACATTTCATATTAGGGCAGGTTTTTGTTTAAAAATGATATTCAATAACAATATGGTTAGAATTTACAAGCACCACTCGGCTCCTTTTAAAAATCATTAAAACAATCATTATCAAAACATTCTGATCCCAGTTTACAGTCAAGATAGGTCAAGTGCATACTGATAGATTCTATAAACAAATTCACTATTTAAAAATGAAAATGTTAGTAACTATACTAATATTCAATATTCATTTCCTCATTCTTGCATATGTAATGAGCAGTAAATTCACACTTGAGACAGTTAAAATTTCTTTTTAGTCTCAGTATGCCATAAATGTCTTCATAGGAATTTTATCCATAATTCAGTGGTTGAATGATTTTTCATGCAATTAATCTGACCAAATACAGAGAAGCTGTAGTCTTAAATTCACTGCTTATATTGCATGCAAGAATTAAGAGATTTGAATTATTTTGATACCTGAATAGCATAGCGTAGCGCAGCAACTTACTGAATCAATTTCCAAAAAGAAACATTAACCTGTTCACTGAAGCCCCAATATCCACATATAAATTCTCCTGATTGATCTCGATATATTTCATTTCCATAAAGAATTAGGTTTTTGAGAGTTGGAATTTGATAAAAGATAGAAGCATTTACCGTTGAGTAATCATTTTTCTATATAGATTTAGCCAGGGCTAAAAGCAAAGCTGTCATTAATATTTATAGTTTACTTTTTTTACTTTTTTTAATTGCAATCTTAACTAAGGCAGGTACTTACAGACAGCAAATTACATAGAGGCAATACTCTGAACGGTGCTTACAAGTTGACACTAACACTAGAATTTCTTGGGGTATGCTTGACCCGGCTTGTGACTTTAAACCGTAAATTGATGTACTTACCACTCGCTTGCTTTGTTCATCTATCCTGGGTAAAAACACATCAAATCTTACATTGCAAGGGTCGTTGTAGATAGATATGCCATGGCCTTTACAAATGCTCTCTAAAGAATCAACATCTTTCTCCTCATCATCAGAATCAATGTCACCAATATAGACAATGCCCTTTTCTAAAAGTACAAGAAAAGTCAGTGCTGGCCTGCCTAATAAAAAAAACTCAAGTGTACAATCAAACTGAGGGGCTGATCAGCATTACATTTTGAGTTGCACTTAGAAATCAGAGGGTACCCTACAGGGTTCTTTAATCCAGTCATCCCACCCATATTATTCGCTCAATCCCATAATCCTAATAGTTATTTTTGGCATCCCCATCTCATGCACACTTTCAATCCCCAACCTCGCCCCCAATTTTGCTAGAAATCCTGAATCCTAGCCTTCAAAGAAGGCAAATCTCAGATCCCAAAAAACTTGTTGGGGAGACAAATCTGGCCATGAGTTTGCACATTACATGATCATTGGATGACTTGTTTGGTTAACGAATGCCCTCCCTGTGTTCTACATATCTCTCAGTACTTTGACGTCAAAAACTGAGACCCCCTACCCTACAAACAGTAATGTGTTAAGCAAGCCAGTCTGATCATGATTTCTGAAGTACAATCCTTGCCTCAAACAAAATTAATGATATGCCCGCCGAAAAAAACTTCTGGAGAAATATTCCACGCTGGGCAAATGATAATATATTACTGTGCTTTTCACAAACATGCAAACTCTTAAGTTCAAAAGCCGCCTTCACAATTGTGTTTTTCGCTGCCGTCAATCATAATTACGATCACAAGCAATGAACCTTGAAACACAGAAGGTCTGTTAAGATGATTGACGGCAGCGAAAAACGCAATCGTCAGTTGGCTTTTGAACTTCAGAATTCGCATGTTTGTGAAAAGTGCAGTAACATTTGTGGTCCAAGTTAATACAGTCAAGTATATGAAGTTCCCTCTCTAACAAGGATTCCTCCTCCACTCTCTCTTTTAGCACCCACTCCCAACCAACTCCTGCCACCTTTTACCTTCACACTGAAAAATTTTCACAAAAATTGTGCAGGTGACTTTAATCATAAGCTAATCAAAGAATGGTTGATTTGAAAAAAACAAATTTTCTTGTCTGTCCTCATTAAAAAATCTAGCATGGTTCTTACGTTCTGCCAAATCAAATGAGCCCTCCCTTTAAAATCATTAAATTCATAGAGTTGGGGAACAAAACATTTTTTCAAAAGCCTGAAAATGGTCAACTGCCTCGTTAACTAGAGAATGGATAAAAGTAGAAATAATTTTCCTACTACCACGCTCAAAAAATTTCACATTTTGACAGGGTCCCTCCAAAAACTCCCGTACAGCTTTTTCAAAATCCCTTCAGACAGAAAATACTTCAGGAAGACAATGGAGTGCTTCCAACGGAAAGCAACCTTTCATTTTCATACAAAAACAGAAAAAATTGTATCGTTTTCAAACGAAACA